GAAAGGTATTTGTTAAATGTAGTAAAGGCAACTTGAAATTCAATTACTTTTAAAAATTGTAAAACAAATGGTAGACTATATCCCTAATGTTTTCTATACAATATAAATAAAGTATTCTGTCTAAAATAATATAGAACAAAATGTATACCATAAAAACTAAAAGAAATTCAAACTGTACTTCCAACTTCTTTAAAAACATACCCCAAAACGGCCCCAAAACAAGGAAGAAAAGTGAACAAGAAAGACAGCTTGAGAAATTACTTTTAAGAACTTACTGGTGCTGGAGTGTTACTAGCACTAGACTCTGATGACTGGGGAGGAGTTGGGCTCTTGTCAAACTTGGCATTGTTCATGTCATCAAGAATGTTTTTACCAGTACTAGGGTCTACAATTGCTAGCGTCTTGCGCTCCCTTTGTAGGACTTGTCCTGAACCTGGCTTCATCTGCTGGTGTTGACTGTTTGGTGGGTAATACACTGGAAAGGAAGAAAAGAGATTTATGTATCTAAACTCTTATTTCCAATCAAAAGAATTGGTAACATATAAACAATCAGACACACACACAAACACACACACAAGTATTAACAACTACCTAATCCCATGTAGCTAGCTAACCCTTTAAGGAGGTACATCACCACTATATATCTAACAAAGGCAAGGAACTGAATTTCAAATCTACTATAAGCCTCTGCATTCTCAATAGTCAAGAGTCCATCCAGCTTGGTGGGCAAGCAGCATGAGTAAGTGCTCTGACTATATTAATAAGAGCTTGTTTTTAGGCAGCTTATGGAAGGAAGTTACATCCACTGCCTTTGAGGTGAGGAAATGAGGCAATTCTGCTCAGCCTAACAACACAGGACATGTCAAACCACATCATCAAAGAGAAGAGCATCATCTGAGGTGAAGCAAAATGAACAGGGAACTTCTGGCAAAGATGGGGGGAGGGGGAGGCTACCAAATACTGAGCATCAATCACCAACGGTCAATCAGTAAAGTAGCATTCCTCAAACACTGGCTGATTTCAATCCTTCTACCAAGTTGTCATCTGATGTTACAATTTTTAAAAAAAATGTAATTTAGGATGTGAAATAGCAATATGGTTTGCTACATTTCTTTCCCATACTTGGTACTTCAAGATCAACTAGAAAATTGCAACCAACAGATAATAGTTTCAGAGGGCAGTGCAAAAGATCTCAAACATATTTTTGAATCAATTTTGAATAACTAAAGTCTTAACTCAAACAGAAAGAAATTATATAATAAAATGTATAAGTAACATTCCTAATAAAGTAAACTTTATGATGATGATTATTACTGATGGTGAAGATTATTACTGATGGAGGTGGTGGTAGTTGTGGTTGTGGTTGTGGTGGTTGTGATGGTTGTTGTTGTTGTGGTTGTTGTTGGTGGTGGTGGAATACTATTGCCAACAACTACTGATGATGATTAAATAATAATCATAATACTAATAGCAAAGATAATGATGAAAGTTTGGAACCAGAAAATGAGAAGATTCTCACTCAGACCAAACACCTCCTCAAAGGGTTACATCCTACAAAACCAGCCTAGGCAGCAGCACAGAAGACCGACACACACAAAAAAATTCACTTGAACCAAGACACCAACATCAACACAATAACGAAGGACGAATCCCACGAGCTACTTACCTCCCTGGGGCTGCCGAAACTGCATGGTAGGTGTGGCCTCGTGCTTACCTCCCGAAGCCTGGTGGTACTGCAAGGGTTGGTAGTGGCCTGTGGGGTGAGGCTGAGTCATCTGTGAGGGGTGGTACTGCCCAGGCTGCGTGTGTGGCGTTGCCTGCCGTGGCGGACCCATTGGAAACTGAAAGGCAGGTGGACGATGTTTATACTTCAGACAATCTGGACGATTATTAAAAGTTTAAATATAGAAGAGTAGGATTAAAATGAAAGTAACCAGTAAAAAATAAAAAGTACATCTCCATCCAATGATTTTGTTTCTAAAAGCTCCCTAGTATTGGATCAAGAAAGTTACAAACACAAAACTACTAATAAAAATGTCATACACCATCTCAAATCTATATCATATAAAAGTAACACAAATACATAACCACAGTATCACACTGTACCAGAATGTATTAGTAAACAAAATACACATGAGTGATCTGGGCACTTAGCAAACATGCAGGTATGAATATCAAGCACTGGTATTTCACCCCCAGCCACACCAGCATACTATCCAATACAAAAAAGAAAATCTTTTACCCCAATTACCCCTTTACCAAAATTTCCTGGGCCATGTCTTTGCAGGACAACACTCACAAAAATACATACAAACCACTATTGACAGTACCATTCAGATACAGCTATTTGCATGAAGACTGAACAAAAGCTGGTCTTAGGTTTACCCAAAACCATCAATAATACATTACTCTCTTCCCTCAGATGCTTTGGACTTTTCACTCTTTATAAATAGAAAGCTCATTTATGCCCCCCCCCCTCCCCGTGTGTGTGTGTGTGTGTGTGTGTGGTGTGTGTGTGTGTGTGTGTGTGTGTGTGTGTGTGTGTGTGTGTGTGTGTGTGTGTGTGTGTGTGTGTGTGTGTGTGTGTGAGAGAGCGAGTGTGTGTGTGTGTGAGAGAGCGAGTGTGTGTGTGTGAGAGTGAGTGTGTGTGTGTGAGAGCGAGTGTGTGTGTGTGAGAGCGAGTGTGTGTGTGTGAGAGCGAGTGTGTGTGTGTGAGAGCGAGTGTGTGTGTGTGAGAGCGAGTGTGTGTGTGTGTGTGTGTGTGTGTGTGTGTGTGTGTGTGTGTGTGTGTGTGTGTGTGTGTGTGTGTGTGTGTGTGTGTGTGAGCAAGTGTGCGTGTGAGTGTGTGTACGTGCGAGCAAGTGTGAGTGCGAGTGTGTCTACGTGCAAGTGTGCGTGTGTGTACATGCAAACGAGTGTGTGTTTATATGTGCGAGCGAGTGTGTGTTGATACGTGCGAGCGAGAGCGAGTGTGTGTTGATACGTGCGAGCGTGTGTGTGTTGATACGTGCGAGCGAGTGTGTGTTTATACGTGCGAGCAAGTGTGTGTTTATACGTGCGAGCGAGTGTGTGTTTATACGTGCGAGCGAGTGTGAGTGTGTGAGTGTGAGTGTGAGTGTGAGTGTGAGTGTGAGTGTGAGTGTGAGTGTGAGTGTGTGTGTGCGAGCGAGTGTGCGCGTGTGTGTATGTGCGAGCAAGTGTGCGTGAGCGTGTGAGGGTGTACGTGCAAGCGAGTGTGCATGTGAGTGTGTACGTGCAAGCGAGTGTGTGCACGAGTGCACGAGTGTGCGTGTGAGTGTGAGTGCGTGTGTGTGAGTGTGAGTGTGAGTGTGAGTGTGAGTGTGAGTGTGAGTGTGAGTGTGAGTGTGTGTGTGTGTGTGTGTGTGTGTGTGTTCGCGAGAGAGAGAGAGAGAGAGAGAGAGAGAGAGAGAGAGCGCGCGCACGCACTTAATATGAACATGTGTGATTGTCACATTAAGGGTGTGCGGGGGACGGGTGCGCGCGGTCGACAGCAGCAAGTAGAAAAAAAATCAGGTATTGCAAATGTAAAAGCAGCAGTGTCTTGTCCGAAATGAAACCGAGAGAAGGCGCGGGCCATCCCTCTAGCCCCTGATCCCCCACCCCCAATCTACGACTCCTCCCCCCCTCCCCGACTTCCAGCGATCTCGGCGCAGGAATGTCTCGCATAAAACGGGATTTCTCCTCCCTTCCGCTGACACCGCTGCCCCGCGCACCGGCCGTTGACTGGCTCGCAAATTACTACATTGTCTTTTTTTTTTTTTTTTTTGGTAAATCAGAGGACAGCCGACGCCAGTGCCTTCCATTCGATATGGGACATTAAAAGGATTCCCAGAAACGGCAAAATTTGGGTTTACTAACGGCTTCGTGGTTAGTTACTCCCGGAGAGGCCTGGGCGAGTGCCAACGTAAATTATATCTTGGTTGCTTTGCGGGTCCTCTGTTGGTGACGCGGAACTAAATGCTTTTAGCGTTTCGTGTGTATTTACATGTCGTTCATTAATCATAATCTGTGAATGACGTTTGCTTTCCCAATCAAAGACATGTTTATTTCGAATATATAGAAAATGGCGCTTCGGTTCAGTTCCTCGGTTATGAAAGTAAATTACTGACCAAAGATACTAATGATACAAACAACGAAGACGAAATTCACCTGTTACTGAAATAGACCTACCCCAGTGTGTGTGACAATGGTCTCCGTGCACGCACGCACGGCTTTTGGTCCAACCACGGAAATCACGAACTAAGACAAACTGCTGGTGATCTGATAAGTCGTTACCATCAATCGGTCCTGAACCCCCCTCGATTCCTTTCGCACCGGGACGCAAGCGGTACTTGCCGCGATCGCTCCTCTTGGTTTTCTATTCGTCCAATAATACTGTGGACAAATCTTACAGAAAATACCAGAATCAACTGGAATGTCGACCAAGCGCCACACTAACGCAACTGTCATCAAAATATCATCCCTATTTGTGCAATATCCCTGATGTATACGCAGACAAGTCCTGTGAGCTGATCCTGTGGACGAAACTAACCGCAACTCACTCACAACCACTTCTACATGCTTTGGCCTTTCTCCCCTTGCAGGTACTTCAAACGTTTACTGCGTCATTTCCTCACAGATTTCGAGTGAAACTTAAGAAGGCGAAGCGAGTGACAACGCCGCATGCATCTGTCCTAAAACACCCCCAACCCTGCCCTACCCTCTATCCTTCCGAAGTCTTCGGCTAAATTTGGGAGAAGGATAGAAAGGGGGGGACACCCACTAACCCCGCGGCAACTTCATGAAACATTAGCCTCTTGGCAGCCCCCCAAAAAGCACTAGGCCTATCTGCCAACCAAAGCACCAATCAACCCGGCTAACCCAAAACCCAAGCCCCTGACCACAGCTGAGCCAGTTAGCCAGCGCCGATTCTTACGCTGGCTGAAACACTATGCCATGTGCCACTGAGGCCTGCGCCGCGCCGAGGAAATGACTAGAAA